GATKWTTWTTAKSASGAYGAWRWAWTRTTKKTTTTATCGTATTTTTAGTCTAAAAATTAGCGAAAAGTAATCTTTTCTTCAATTGAGTGMGCGCGCGAGACATGATGGTGTCRGCACAATGCACAGGTCCTATTATTGACACTCTCTAATCATCCAATCAAGGTGCGAGAATTCACACAAATGTGGTAAAAACTAATATGCCAGACATCTTGAATTGGCATTGTCACTACTGTAATTATAAGAACTTGTTTATAATTGTAACACTTTAGGGATATAAATATGATTGAATTTTCAAAGCTATATATATATATGGATGGTTGGAAGCAATAATAAAAATTTAAAAGCACAAACCTTCCAAGGAGAAATTTTGCATAAACATTTATGTAAAATGTGCATTTTTCCCCTCAGCAGTCGTGCAGAGTGAACGCTTTAAATCCACCAAACTGAACTAATTTGTCAGTGCTGTGATGTGAAATTTAGTAAATGGCGTCCATAAATAAGAGTACTCATTTAAAAGATGCCAAGTTGCAGAATTAATGTCTTGTTGTGTTATTTCAAATTTGCCATTGATTTTTATGCGTTCACTTCAAGGCGGCAGTCAGTTTATTTATACTAAAGGAAATACTGGTAAGATTTGTGTCTACATTTGCCGCAGTCAAAAAATCAAAGGTAAATAAGTGGATAGTTGACAAACTATGAATGATAAATCACATCTCCTCATGAATTATTCATGAGCTATTAAAACGACCTATTAAAACTATAATCTTAAGTGTGAAGTATATTTTATCCTTTTTAAACCGTTTACAGAAATGATTTCAAAAACTTAAATACCCTAAATCAGTATTGAAAGAAATCTTTTGAAATATTTCGATGCCATAGACTTCAAAGGAAATCCGATACATTACGTCATTAATCATTGATATTAATAATCTTATTTTAAAGTTATACACTCCTTAGAGGAATCTCAGTGCGCATGTCATCAAAACACWTTTTTTTGCAGACTAAAATGCTGTTGATTTTGAAAGTTGGATTTTGAAAGCCTTTTTGCTTTCGCTTCAATGTGAGTTTTTGATTTCACACTAAAATGTGAATAAATCCGAAAGAATTTTCCCAGCAGAATATTGATGATCTTGCAATATTAATTGTTTGCGCCGTGTTCATGTGGTGAGGTTATTATGATACCTTCATCATCAACAAAAAGAAGACTTTTCAWTCGGTAAATTTTCMCTCGAAAGATATCTTTTTAAACTGAATAATACTCTGAAATTTCAAGGTTTTTTTTACCTACAGTAGCACAAAAACTAATTTTTCCATCGCCAATTCCCACATCGCCCAAAGGGTTTGAATATTTCATATTTTTACACAACACTTAAGGTTTAAATTATTTTTTGGTTTCAATTTTGAGTTCAAAACATGAGCTACAATTATCCACAATACAATAGCGATGGCCTTCGTATTCAAATAATTAAGTTTATATAGACCATATATTTTGCCTATTTTCGAGCCTTAGCGTTTAAAAGTGTCGAAAGCTCGTACATAAAACTATTATGGGTGTTATGACTTGTCTGGTCAATCGAGTTGTGCTCTGATTGGACGGTGATCAAGCAGCGGTTTGATTAATCTAAATAAGGCAGACATAGCAGACATATAAGTGCCGTACGATAATTCAAGAAGTTCAACAGATCGTAAGATGCTACGAGTCTGTTAAGGTAAGTCTTCTTGTTTGTTAATATGTAAGAAAATATACTAAATATAAGGCAAAAAACATTTGTTTAAGAGCTGTGCTAACAATTTGTGCTTTCTAAATGGGTAAAATAGCCGTAGTCGTTGTTCTATTAGACTAATGGCTGAATGAATGAACCGATTGAAAAATGAACTCTTTTTTGAGCCACGAATGCTAAAAATACGCGAGGMATAAAGCTCGCACATACATATATAAAAATGGACTATTTTTCACCAAAATCTTAAACTTCAATCTGATGAATTTGKAATTTTATAAAAAGGAAATTTCTTTCTTTGCTGTACATAATTTTTCGCAAATACGACTGCATGACTCATTCACTGACAAAGGAAATGAACTCACAAACACGTGKAGCTACATTCTATCAACATGAAAGGCGAGCTACGCCTTGGCCTTATAAATAACGCAAATCAATTTTAAGCGATRAAYTCATAAAGGCATTTCATGRRAAAAGTAAAACAGAAATKGTCTTATTATAGCAATTCTCATCCATGAATTTTTGTTCGACTTTTTGAATGATTTTAAAGTGTTGGCTGKTTGCAGCTGTCAGACTGGCTTAGAACAAAAGAATTTCACGACAGCTTGCTTCTTTGCTGGTCTTTCAAGCTAGTATTATTACTACTCTTACAATTAACATATGTGTCTTGATATAACGTATTTTACAAGTGTAATATCTCTTAACTTTTGTCTTCCAGACTTGGTACAACTGAACTTGATTTCCTGAATAAAAATATAATCACCAACGAACAACAAAAAAAACATTTTGACCAATGGAGCAGACAGAGGTAATAAACTATTAAATGATTTCACTATAAAATGCACCAAATTTATCCTTTGCTTTTATCGCAAAATTATTGCCATAAAACATCAGCAAATCACTATTTTCATTCTATTACTGGCCTATGATACTTCCTTCTTGAATTCATACATATATATATCATATTTGTGCCAAGTAATCTTAAATTGTTTCACTACATCATATGTAGCTGCTCTTATAAATCCTAAGAGTATTTCCCGCCTAAATGTTATCGTTGAGTCATTGCTCAAGGAACCTTGGTATTTAGCCCAGAGTTAAATTATATCGGTAGCATATGAAAAATTGAATATTACTCTTGTACAGGATATTACATTTGCTCAGCTAGTGCTAGTCGTCAACATGATGTTTATTGACAAGATTGATTGATTAGAGAGCTATGGTCAGCCAGGATACCTTACAAGCTTTCAATTATGCTTGAAAAATAAAAATCCATCGTAATATAAGCAAAAACGCTTAGTTGTCCCTTTATTCTCAAAGGACGGAGTTTTTTAAGATTCCAATTTAATACCGACTGATGGAGACGGATCGCGAAAGGGTATTTTAAGTAACGACCGCATTGAATCCTGGTTGGCCATGGACCTTTAACTATGATCGAAATGAATACCATTATAAAATGTTATCGTGAACTAAGTTTGAAGGTAAATCAYATACATGYGRGRAATGAACTGTTCAGCGCATGACAATTCKTAGTTCCATGSTAWGCATTCTGATAATAATCACGATCTAAACACAAAGAAYACAAGGCCGACACAGTTCGTTGCTATTGAATGACTCAGGTCCCCGTCAGGTCGGATCTAAATTCCTGAAGTGATATGTAACAATYAAGACCAAACAAAGGAAATAATTGTCTGCTAACTACTATGGTATACGTATATGACATGTGTGTCACTTTTTTTCTTTACTTCTAATACTAAAGCGAGTTTTCGAGCTTTGCTTTGTTCTAAACTCTGCATCGACACATTTTASGATATGRCRCTTTAGGTGATCAAYTTTACGCAGTCGTCGGTCGTAATAATAGKTCAAACAACGGTTTGGGAACGCCCAGGCTTTCKATTTCTGATGCAGTCCGACATACGATACAGTCTGGCAGTTGATATATTGGAATCTACCATTACAAAGATTAGAGGTAAACGAGAAGGCATTTAGGAATAAAACATTTGARTTTGCGGTTAATAACCAAACGTCAAGATTCTGTAAACACTGGCTTTAAAAGTGAAAGAATATACGCCCTTATTTGATACCCTCAAGGATGATTCGAAATAAGTGTTCACAGGAACACTTTAAATAACAAGCATGAAAGGGCGCTTTCCATTTGTCAGAACTGGCTGGCCAGACTCAGAGAAAATATCATTGTATATCATTCGTATTTGGATATGAAATTCAAATTTTCCAATTCTATCCATTATTCTATAGAAAACCTTGAAATGACTGAAAAATGTTGATAAAAAGCATTATGTACCTCTAAATCGAGCGGACTGGCCGGCCAGTTCTGCCTAAATGGAAAGCATAATAGTACAATTTAACAAGTGATAGGCTATCTTTGAATTAATTTCAGCACTGARCAAACACTTGAAAAAGCTAAGATATGTTGTACTGACAAGAGAACAGGGAAGAATGAAAGCGTTTTATAATTCTGATAGTACATTTTAATAACTAAGCGTTTTAGCCATGTTTTAATAGATTTAAACAGTAAAGTAGTGCAATGAAAAGACGTTGTGGATTATGCACAAAAATATCATTACGATTTCTTTAAATTACMCTTTATTCATTCATTCTTCGCTCGAATTATTAAAATGGCCACAAAATGATTATCTTTATTGGGTGAAAAACGGATATTCGACAGATAAAAACAATAATACATTTGTCGGGTTTGAAAAGGTTTCGAAGTGAATATTTTCTATAGAATGAAGCCAGAAATGATCAAACTTAAATGGAACCACGAGCGCACTCGATGGAAAAATCACTTCGAATTATTAAGTTATCATCGGAGACAAGATTGTATACTTGGAAATGTGAATTACATTTTCATAAACCGGACATGTTTAGATGGATAGTGACTAACAAAGATGACAAAGAAAGTGTGCGTGAACGGCATAAWAAGATTCGATGATGTAATCTCGTTTTTGACTAAACCACGTTTTTTCAATTAGATGTAGACAATAACAAGAGACTAAATATGGTCATGTAGAGAAGAAATAACAATCTTCATTTTTTGCAATTTAGATTTAGCTTCTTACAAAATTCCTTGTCAACTAATTGGACTTAAGAGCTTGTTTTGGTGGTGCATGCAGGCAAAAAATAAGCTGGAAAATGGAAGTATCCCCCATGGACCAAACATTCTGTACTAACACGCACGCCATACTTGGGTTCATACAAAGCACACTTTATTGTAAGCACATGACTGTGACGTCATTACTGTACATGCATATAGTTAATATCATTACATCCCCCTTTTTCTACTATGAAATTACAATAGCGATGAAATCACTAAGTATAATACGTATAATCAAGAAGATTGCACAAATAAAATTTCAACATATATAACGTTCAGCGTCAGTCACTTAACATAATCTTC